TTTTTTTTTTTTTTTTTTTTTTTTATTAGAAAGTGAATTCTTTCGTCGTCTTATTTGCTCTTTCACGCTTCGAAAATGATTTTGCGAATGGCTAAATTTCGTTCTGGCACTTGTACGTGTGTAAATATATTGCGGTTATTTCATTTCATAGTTTTTAGAGCTAACTAGAAGATTAAAACAACCAACTAATAGATCGGTACGATATATTTTGGAGAATTGCTCCTTTTGTAAATTTTCACACATCTTTTTCACTTTGATTCCGTTGATTGTTGCTATCGATATTGTTCTCTAAATCTAACATCGGCAGTTCAAGTTCAGTTACAAATTGATCAGCAACGTACAAACATAAGTGGAAGAAACTTCAATCAACTGTTCCACTGACTCCACTTCATACATCATACAAAGAAAACTGCTAAAACGAGGAACGATCTTTCATCGATCGACTCGTAAATTAACGTTCGACAAATCAACTCATTGTCATTATTACGCCGAGTAAAATTTCCAGATAGCTCTAGAATATCGCGTACTCCGATCCGAGAGAGCATCGCGCTCATCTCACATCGTCGTGATTCTCTTCTTCTTTTTCTTCTTCTTCTTCTTCTTCTTCTTCTCCGTGACACGACGACAGAAAGACGGAGGAATTCCCTCGCGGACTCTATCTGAGCTACGCATCTCGCATGCTGCATACCGCCGGTAGCGATCGTTCGATAAGTCGTCGCTTGTCCGCCGCCACGCCGCCAATATTCCGTTTAATAATAATCGTCCGTGCAAAATCATGCCGATCCCGTGCTTTCAGAAACGCGAGAGACGCGCAAACTGCCATTTGGTGGAGCTGGCCGTTGTCCTCGCTGATGTCCTTGAGCCTGTGCCTCGCCGGTTTGGCCATATACGCGCAGTATCGCGACTGCGATCCTCTTCAGACAGGAAGGATCAACTCGTACGATCAATTAATGCCGCTTTACGTGATGGACATGCTCTCCGCGTATCCAGGTGTGCCGGGACTTTTTATTGCTGGCATCTTCAGCGCTGGACTCAGCACCATCTCCGCCACGGTGAATTCCCTGGCCGCCGTTATACTCGAGGATTTTATCAAGCCCGTGTACAAACTTCGGTGAGAGACTGTCTCAGCAAACGAAACTGAATTTATTTATCAACGTATCACGTATCGCTCGATCGTTCTATACACGATGCACAAAGTCGCGATGAAAATCGACGAGGTTTCGTTTCTTTCGTGAAAAGTTATCATTTATCGAGTACACATATGGGAATTTATGGCGCAGGAAGTCACCAGGTG